GGCCCAAGTATCTACCATATAGCTGCATGGACCCTTTGGGAAACTGTGCTTGCAGGCCCTCCGCGCCCACGGTCGCTGTGAGACGCCTGTATGCCTTGTGATAGTAGTGAGGGTAGAACAAGTAGCAGGGGCTACAAGGTTGAATTCACTTGTTGAAGAACTTCGGGTGAGGAGGGGGAGGAGGACACAGGAGGACACAGTTTTATGTTTGGATTATATTGGGTTAATATAGGGATAATAGGAAAGAACATGGAAACTACTGTATAGTACATTAGGAGGCGGAGGAGGCTGGGGACTGTACACTTTGCAACGGCACGCTCGGAGGATTGGCCCCACAGTCAGGACAGCGGGGCATATCGGAGAAGATGATCAAAGTCACGGATACTCAGGCTCCTAGCTTGCTCTAAGGTTAGAGGTATGGTCCCTAAGACCTTTTAAGGGTACGGATAGGATTTATAGTCATGGCTGCTACTAGGACCTACTGTAGGAATCCCTTCGGATCCCTTCGCCCATTCCATAGAGCCCAAAACCTTACCTTATATATCCGCAGAGACTTTTTTCCAGTCAACTTTCCATGGCGTCAACTGCGGGCTATTTCTGACGCTCGCACATAATCAAGTTAGGACCCCCATTACCTTCTCATGATCCCTATGTATCCCCGGGGTACGTAGAAGCCCGCTATGTTGAGAAACCTACTTGACCTAGAAATCCTGAACCCTACACTCTGCAGACTCTAAGCCCTAATGACGCAACAAACCCTGCACCCCAAACCTTGCCCCATTAACCCTAAACCCATAAACTACCCTAAACCTTGCCCCGACTTTGCCCCTAAGCCCTAAACCCATAAACCGCCATAAGGGCCATAACCCCAGGGCCGGAATATTAGGATCCCTATCATTACTGCCTATTAAGGGGAAGGGGTTTATTTAATCAGGGGTCTGGGGTAAGGACCTACGCGGCATCCTTGAGAAGTTTGTTGGGTTCTGGCTCGCAACCTGGCCGGGCTCAGCGAGACCCTTGTAATCCTCTCCCTTTGATTTAGTGTTTAGGGTTCAGAAGGGTTTAGAGTTACAGTGTTTAGGTCTTAGGGTTTGGAGCTACAGTGTTTTGGGCTAAGGTTTTTTGAGCTAAAGTGTTGAGGGCTTAAAGTTTGGAGCTAGAGTGTTTAGGACAGCTTAGGGTTTACAGCTATACGGTTTAGGGCTTTGGGTTCAGGGGTTTAGGGCTTGACCCTTGTAATCCCCTCCCCCTACCAATAGATAAGGCCCAACCCCCTTAATTACAACCCCCAATATGGTACTATTGCATACTAGGAGGAATATTTAGCATCAGGGGGTGCGGGGGTTTTAGTTTTAAGGAGAAGGGATAAAGGTTCTACCCCTGAGGTCCCTTCAAGGGGTGCAAGGGTGGGTGGTTAGGGGTCAGATTTTCTTTACATATGTAGGTAGACTGGGTGCTTTGGGAACGCCGTTCTAAACTCTAAACACCCATGCACCTCTACACACCCCTGGTGAAAGCGGGGGAGTTTATCTACGGCCATTTGTAGAGTTCCATGTTAGTTTGGGGAAGGGTACACATCCTTCAACTCTGAACCCCTAAACCCTACATACTTAAACCCTAAACAGTAGAAATTTCAACTTTAAACACCCTAAAACTAAATGCCAAACCCTAAACCCTACATGTCCCTATTGGGGCCCTGGGCACCCCAGGTACGGCGTTGTGCTTGCCGGATCCAAAGGAATTTGTCAGCTGCACTCTGCGCTGGCGAGGCTCAGCTCGAAGTAAAAGGGGGTCCCTTTACGGACTTACCCTGCAAGTCTAACCTACTTAGTAACTAAGCCGGTTATAACCTGCAAGGTAGGCACGCCGGTTCTGTCATAGACCCATTTTTAGCTTGTTGAGATTTGCAGCCAAGGAGGTCAGCAAAACAACATGGGATGATTCGATTTCTTTGATATTTGGGGCTCCCGAGTTAAACAATACAATCAATTCGGGTTCCTCGAAAGGCATGTTGAGCAGCTGATAGCTTGTTACTTTTTGGGCCGAACGCTCTGAATCAGCGCTTCCACGCAGCATTGATGACTCTCCTGAGGGTCGGCATCACAAAACAAACAGCATGTTTCGTGAGAAGAATCAAGATTTCGTGCAATTAGTGGACGCCAAGTTGCGGCTTCAGCTTCCTCTTCGATGCCAGAACTTTCATGCGGCCCAGCTTGAGAACCCACTTGCTGAATGATGTAGGCTTCCGAGGCGCTTTCAGACAGACACCTTGGGCATTGTTACGATACATTCTTGTCTACAAATCTAATTGCCCCGCAATCTCATGAACATTGAGGAGCTGACGCTTCAACCAGCCCATTGAGTCTTCTCCAGCAAAATTATGAGTATACCGGCTATTGTAGCCTGAGTTGGTCAAGGCTTCAAGCTGATAAGGGTTCTAGCTTTGATTGTCCCATTGCATTGCCAAAAAAGCCCAAGCACGCCATGCCCGAGATTGCCGAAGCAAGTGTGAGAAAGCCTGATCATGAGATACTTTATAATCGGGAGAAACTCAGGTTTACAACTGAATTATGATTATGGGTCATGGGTTATTTACTATGGTAACTTATTCGGGACAAAACTGAGTATTAGAAGCCAAGGGGCATGGAATTTCGGTTTCAATATCCACGCAACGATGCCCAGCCTTCCAATCATATAGTACAGTGGGTGATGAATACTATTAGGACGTATACCCCAATTGCAAGAACCCATACGAGCTAGCATATAGGTTAGGTCCAGTAGCCGACAAGATAACCGTGTCAACAGCCGATGGCACCGAAGAAACTCGTAACCTGCATCGTAGATGTCAGTTGACTCCGTCGGCGTCCTTATATTTGGATGCGGTTTAGGATCTAGGGTTTGTCAGGCTTATTAATATTTTCATTATATATATGGGTTTCAGAGATCTAGAACCACCACTTGCCAGTCTTAGCCGTTTATTACGTGGGCTTTAAAAAGGCTACTCGTACCAAAGTAAATCCCCTAATAATAAATTCCTGCTGCTTCGCAATGGGCAGCAGATATCGGCCAGCTCGTTCGCAGAGGCCAAACCACCGAGAAACCGCAGTCCTGGATAGCAGGGATGTTTATAAGGGTGGTGGTTTTATTATATTATAGATATGGGGCGCGGGTTCTCTCAGGGATTGTATGAGGTGAATTCAGGATCCGGAATTTACTAGCTATGATGTGCTGAACAAATGTACGCATGAATCAATCGAGTAGCAAGGCCCTGGCATGGAGTTGCAAGCTCAAATCATCAGGGATCTCAAGTGCCAGCGTGCGGCAAAGGAAGCCCAACCACTCCATTACCACACGGCCATTATACGCTTTGGCTGTAAAGTAATATCCATGGCTCGCTTTGAGCAAGTGTCGCTCCCGAAAAACACGTTGGCTGCATTGAACTTTCTGCTGTCGGCGCCAAGCTTTGAATTCCTCGAACGCCCTGCCCAAACAAGCATTTAGCCCAGTAGCCAAATCCCCGAAAACGCCCTTCTGAAGTAGGATTTGCCTTAGATGCTGCAGCGTCATCAGGAGTCATAGTAGACCGTTCGAATAAAAACACTTATTATAATAAAAGATTTGCGACTTTGGTATGCATGCGAAGCACAATGCCCCGCCACTTGCGGTGTGGACTAATCCTAAATTGCACACATGCATTGAGCAGAACTTGACCATAGTCAAGTTAAAGCCTCGAAGGTAAAGAAGTGGGCCTGGAATCTTATGTACGGAAAACTCTACACAGAATCCCCGCTACATAATACTATATAAACTTGACACAAGTACTTTGGACATTCAAGGCTCTGAGTGGGCCTGGCCTCACCTTCCGGTTGATCAAGCCAGCAGTGTTGGTCTCTGTAGCAACCCACGGCGCCTCATCACCAATACTGTAGTAGCGCAGGTTTCCATCACTAGCTTCAGCGTCACAGAAAAAACAGCATTCCCGGGATACAGGAGTAGCTCTCAAGCGTAGAATCCTCTCGTGGTATTTCCAGTCCCCACGCAGCTCTGCGCAGGCGTACCGGCAGCCGTCCGCCATCATGGTTCCTGCCCAGCGGCGCTTCTTCAGTGGCAGCGGCCGCCCGAAAGCATCATTTTCAGGGTACACTCCATTAAAAGCCACGTTGCATCCCCACACCAAATGCTGCAGAACAGGCCGAAGGGTTTTCAGCTCATCGTGGACCATATGTTCATCCTGCATGCAAAATAATAGAAACTGCCCTTCCCTGATTGTCTTGGGTTTGAAAAGCGTCAGACTCAGGAAAATGCCAGTCACTTTGTCTTTCGGGTCTCCAAGCACACATTCGTCTCCGTAAAGTGTAAATGGAATATGGTCATCCGTTCCAGGAAAATGTTTCGCATGAGGCATGTCGCAATCACGAAGGTGCTGCCAATACTTATGAACAACTTCGGTGGGTGGAGCCAGTTTCAATTCCGTTCGGAGGTAGTCCAGGAGTTCATGAACATCCAATACCGGAACTGTGGTTTCTACTTCTGTAAGCTGGCCATTGATCATCCTGTAGACAGGAACTGTGACATTTGTCGGGTCCTAGGTTGCACTGGCTAATATCCCTAGATTCTATATATATGGCTGATCATGACGACTAATTAACATAAATAGGACAAATGAACAATCTCGTATTATTATATGTACATCCCCTAGATAAAACCATTAATATACCTATACCCTATATATAATTGTCGTTTAAATCCTGGGTCCCAGACACGAGAGGCACCTTCACATTCTTAAAGAAATCCCGAGCATAGTTTCCAGGCTTGTAGACCATCAATTTGCGAATTGTCTTGCTCTTGACTTTCCCACGAGCCTCCTCATGATGAGCTGCAACCCTATATATTAAACTGTAAACCCCTTATTATAATAACCCTTACGTAAATTAAAGCCCTATATATATATAAACCCTATATATAAACCCGAAATTTTAAGTACAGTATAAAATTTTACAATTATAAATCATACTTGCACCGACATCACGGAATTGGGATCCCAAATCGCCTCATAGCTGCTATGCGCATCATGCATGGCTGCTCCAACCGTTTTGGCCTGGGATGCTCAGGATACGAAATGGAGTATGCAATGGAGAGAAGTCACGATAAAGTACCCTGGCTGCAGATGAGCCGCTCCAGAAGATTTTCGATCCAGCATGTTTTGAAGTAATCCAGCTTCTGAATCACCATTGTCATCCGAAGCATCGGATCCTGGCATGACAGTCGGTGTGATGTAGCGGGCAGTATACACTAGCATGCGCAGTCATCTCACACAAGTTGGAGAATTTACACACTCGAGCAGGCATCTGGTCCATCACCTGCATGCTTGCGCCATATATATGGCTGTAGCTAATGAACTGCCGTGAGCAGCTTCATAGGTCAAAAGTTCGCCAGGTCCAGCAGGCATATTAGCTGGCTAGAGCGCTGCATCCGTCCAAACCCACACATACCCATTCTAAAAATGCTGGAGCTGCACTCTGATGATTGAACCAGAATTCAGCCGAGCTTTCCCAAATATTGGTTCGTCAAGTAGAACGAAGACGTATTTGAGAAATCCACTACACGGTAATTCTAATCACCAGAGAGCTACACAGCCAAGGTATGTTCACCGCCAACATGGAGGATGAAATGCACATGGACAGCATACGCCTTCGGCGCTGGCTTCCTCGAGAGTGCAACTTGCAGATCTTCACAAGCGTACGGTATGACGATAGTAATAAGATTTGATTAAATTTTAAATAGGGCTGCCGAAGGATTGTTGGGGTATGTATTGGGACCGGAACCTATGCTAGGAGATGCAGAAATTCCACGGTACATGAGGAGACTTGAATTCGAACTGGGTCATACCTATACATATAGGCTGCGCGAAGCTGCAGATCCACACATAGAGGCAATGGCCAAGGTTCATCCCTGGCACCGGAAGAAACAGACTAGTGGCTTCATGATCAATCGGGGTTATAAGTACCCATATAAATTTAAAGGCAATCTATCGAACCCATACACCAAGCCTGGCTACGACTTCTTGATGGGGTATCACTTTTTGCCACTGGCCTTGGAAACTTTGCTGGACTTGCAATTGCTCCTATAAGTTTTCAGGCGATCATCAAACTTCCCACAAACATCCACCAGGGCCGCCATCAGGCCACTCATATCTAGGACCTCACAGGGGCATGATGTAGGCCATTGGGGTTATGATCTACTCTCCTTTATTATAATAAAGCAATTTCCTAGATGGGATTGCTCATGAATGTTGATACTCAGGGTTCTCAAATGTGGGGTTATATGTATAAAATGTAACTATAATTAATATATATATATATGTATATGGGTTCACTACTTTTAAAATGGTTGAGTTGCTATTTACTTTGCATTTTCGGGGGTGGGCCATTAAATAGAGCCTGTACATGTCATCCTACACGGTCATTCCGGAGTAGCATGTAGCAACCCCTTTCCCTGGTTTCATGTCCGAACGACAACTTTCGCAATAATTAGCTTCAAGAACCCAACCCTGGGCATGGCCAGCTTCCATATTACGCTAAATACACCCTAAACCCTATTCCCTTATCAGCGTATGCCCATTCATAAGAAAATCCCTATATACGTATGGAATCTAACCACTAGACACCCTTATTAATACCCTATCCGAGGAGACGCAGACTTGCCTCTTCGTCATCATAAGCGCGCTGCAGCTCGGCGCGGGCTGACTGGATCTCCTTCGCCTGTTGAGGGATTATAGGGTTCAGGCCTAGGGCTTATAAGGGCTAATTCGGGGAATTTAAATTTAGAATAGGCTTGGAACGAAATTGGGATGTAGTATACAGCTAATAATAATATAGCAAGGTACCGAGGATAGTGCGTGATCATCCCCAGTCCTGCTGGGCGATATCCTTCTTCATGGCTTCCAGGAGATGGTTACCCCTTAGCTATATTCAGTCGTCAAGGACAGCAAGCATGAAAGTTCCGATCTAGAGCTAGGGTTTCCCTTATAATAATTTCAGATCTAGGAACACATCTGGGATGGCTTCCTTGTCCACACTGGAGGCAGCCTTGATCTTCTCCGTAGCTTTGTCAATCGCCTCCAAGAATTGCAATCATGAATGGAAATTTTGAAATAACAGCGGTAAACCCCAAACGCCGTATTCGAAAGCCCTTAATACCCATGGCCACTTGAACCCATCAACTGCTCTGAAACTGTGCACCTCAACCAATGACCTGATAAGGGCATGTGATCACAGGAGCATTCGAAAAACAATCACCCATACCCCAACAACTTGAAATTAAACTGTCCATGCAGCCCTATAACCCGAATTGATAAAATATACAATCCCTTACTATAAATAATGATGATTTCTGTAATTCTCCATATATATATAAACCCTATAGATAGAATACCCAATTTAATAGCTTTATAAATTGTATTTAATTATTAATAATTATAACGGGGGAACACCAGTTGGGCCAACCCACCTTCTTCACTTTGCTTCTTAGCTCCTTGGCTTCCTGCGCTGCTTTCTCCTGCTGCTCCTCTTCGGGCGTCAAATTTTCCTGAACGCAGTGGAATTCGAAGCCAAATATGTTGACTAGCTGTACATTGCAGTCTGGCCTTCTTCGTGTCCTTGCCCTTGCTCTTTGCCTTTGCTTTTGCTTTCGTTTTTGCCTTGGCTTTCTTTGGGCTTTTTGCTTTCTTTTTGGCTTTCGGCTTCTTAGACTTGCTTCTCTTCTTGTCGCCAGCATCCTCTTCCTCGTCCTCATCCGCACCGCTCTTTGAGTCGCTGCTGGTGCTGGCGACATTCGCTTCAAAGACATTTTCCAGCTCCTCCTCATCAACGTCTTCTTCTGTCTCTTCGCAGAGACACTTGTACTGAATCATATCCTGCAGGAATACTTGCATGATAAATCCTAGATCCTCAAAATGCAGATGAGCAAATTGTCATGAGCAGTCCTTCCGCTGAGGGCATTCGGGGTGATTTCGAATCTCGGTTTCACGCTTCTCATCATCATTCTCTTTCGCCTCGATGATTGCCAAAGCGACACTTTCGCCATGGCGGTCGATGAGCTCTTGCTTCGTGTACCACCTGCGGAGCCCCTTCCTGCGGTTGGCTTTCTTTGATCTCAGTCGGGCTACCAGTGAAGACTTGGCCCAGCAGCCCTGGCACAACAGCCAGTGCTCAAAGAGATAGCTGCGTTGCGCAGCATTATTCTTCGCCTTTTCGGCAAGCTTTGAAATCTCTTTCGGGCAGTGAGGACCTGAGGTTGCAATTGCAGAACTTGCCGCATGGCAATACATGGTCGAGGTCATGAGGCATGAATGATTAAATCCTTGAATAAAATCGATCCAAGTCACTTGCCAAGGAGATGTAGTACCGCATATTTCTTGCGTGCAATCTTTTTCTTCGATCGTCCTTGCTTTCTGGCTTCCCGCAGCTTGCCTTGGCCGGATCGGGCTGCTCGTGCGCCTGCAACGCTTTTGCTGCAGCTGCTGCTTCCTCTGCCGATTTCTCCTTCTCTGCTTTCTGCGTATCATGCGGATCCGTGCTGCTACTCTCCTTGCGGGTCTCCTTCTGTTCACCTTCCACGTGTGTGCTTTGCTCCTTTCCTGCAGGCTTGCTGGCTTCTGCTGCTGCTTTTCTGTCCTTCTGCATGCGATCTATGCTTGCCACAACCTCCTGTAGCTGCCAGTCCTCAAGTTGGTCCACGGTGTGCCCCCGTTGCAGGATGCTTTGAAGACTAGCTAGGGGCATAGATGGCTCCGGTGCGCTGGAGCGCTCACTCCACCAATCGTATGCCTGACCCCACCAACCACCCGAACGCCCTTGATACCCGGACCAACTATCCCAGGCTTCCTCCTGCCAATCCCATGCACGCCACGATGAGCCCTGTGACGCAGCCTTCTCCTGGGCTGGCTGGCCAGGGGCATCCTGATCAGCAGGGACCTGGGCTGATTACAATTCTAGCAAGATCATTCGGATTATAGGGTTTATATAGGGTTATATAAAATGGGGTCCGGTAGTGGGGTTGAAGGGCCGTGAAGTTGGGAATTCCTGACTTGCATGCTGCTCATGATCCGAATGACGGGACCTGTTCCAACAATCTATGTATAATCAAACACCAAGCCCAAATAAAACCAAATACAAATTTATCAGCCCTTCTTCACTTGGGGTTGCGTACAAGTTCGGGGTGGTTTGCAAATTATAGTACGTAGGGTCTGAATGGGCCTTATAACATGTCGATTTGTGGTATCATTTCAGGGGTCTTGATGAAGGGGTCTGTTGTAATATTACATTGGTGAATTTGTATGGGGCTCTTGGTGGGGGGGTCTCCGGATCCTATATATTATATATATATATAGGAGGTTATATATATATATGTATAATAATATGTTTTTCGTATTTGTGAGCGAGATCTTGGGGGGTTTGGGTTCTATAGCATATAAGTCCAACGGAGGTTTCGAACTCCAAGAAAATCGAGTGTCATGATGGGTTTGCGGACCATTTTGGGGGCCTTGGAGGGCTCATAGTGTACTTCGAATTCTATTAGCCAGATAAGCCGAAAATTGATCCCTATATACTGACAGTAGCACTGTCCTGTATACGGAAGTAACGTACGAAATCATATATATATATATACACCCTGATCATGATATCGATACTATATATATATATAACTTTATAATTAATAGATATATAATTATTATTATATATATATATGATTTCGTACATTACTTCCGAACCAGTGAACCGGAAGACATGCCTGCAAGAAAAGCTGCCTCCCCTGGGAAAGAATGTCATGATCGAAAATGACACCCTAATAAACCCTATAATAAGCCCTATATAATAATTACCCTTATAAACCCAATAAGCCCTAATTATCGTGTGATTCCATCAAGACTCCCAATCCTTGCGATTTCTCCATGAGCCTGTATACAATCCCCATGAAGCCTACCCATCGCGAACTCGGCCAAGCAAACCTCCTGAACATAACGGATATCAGGTTTCTATATGCAGAGAGAGCAGCCTGCAACGACTTCGGATTCTGCGGCTCCTCCGCAGTAACAGGGCTGTTGCATAACCGACGTCTTTTGCCTGATGATCTCATGTGCGTGGGGCTGCTGACATCCTTCCTGACTTCGGGGGTACGCTTGATAGAGGGCTGATCACTTGCAAGTTTGGTTGGGGATTGGTCCTGCGAGGGGTCTTCTGATCCTGATTGGTCTTGCTGGGGGTCTTCTGATCGTGATTGGTCTTGCTGGGGGTTTTCGGATCCTGATTGGTCATGCCAGGGGTGTTCTGCTCATGATTGGTCTTGCTCAGGGGCTTCTGATCCTCATCGGTATTGGCCATGCTTGGGGTTCTGACTTCCTGGGTTCCCTGGATCTCGCGGTATGGGGTTGCTGCCTGCTGCTGGGAATCCAAGAAGGTGGCTTGGCTCTCGTATGTAACCATATGTCCGCGGGCAACTACGGGAGCTCCTGTACTACATGTAGTCTCAACATTAGGCGCTGGGCTGGCCAACTCACTTTTCACAAGCAATCTTGCTGGTGTTTCGGCTGGCTCTGGCTTCATTTGCGCACTGGCAACTTCACTTGGCAGGCTGGGCGCTGGCTTCGGCTTCTCATCTTCGGGTGGCATTTCTGGACGTGCTGCGATACCTGTACGTGTGGCTTGACATGGTATTATATATAATCGAACTAGCTATAGTTGTAATAACAGTATTCTAGGGTTACGATAGCCCTGCTATTAAAACATGTCATCAGAACAGACGATTCGAAACAAAACCCAAGCAAGCCTTTGGAAGCTTTGGCCCGCAATGCCGCTGCAGCGGCTAGCGCTTGTTGCGCTGCTTGTTCTCGTGGGGAGTTTGTGGCCATGGTAATATAATGAAAGTGTGAAGATGTAATGGAGAAGATATGCAAATAAGATCGAAACGATAAAGTAAACATCACATTTTGTCATGGGAGCAACCCCTCAGATTCAGATGATCTAGTCCGAGTGTGCTGCAGAGAGCAGCTCATATCATGCTACCTGTGATATAATCAAGATCATCATGGCACAAGCCCAGCTTAAGCACATCTAATTTCAACGTTCAAGGTGAGAAGAAACCAGCATGGAACCCCATCAGGAAAGCACGGAAAAGTAAGCATTTGAAGCCTCCCCACCTATGAACGCCACAGCCCTTGCAGACCATTCACAGAGTCACGCTAGAGTCACGCTAGAGTCACGCTCCCGGAGGCCTTGTGGGTAGGTGCCAGGTCTACAGTTATGAGAGCAGTCACGCAAGAGTCACGCAAAGTCACGCTAGAGTCACGGAGAGGTCACGCTGGATTTGCTTGGGCTGATATGGCATGATTTCATGAAAACTTTCCTAAAATGCTTATATTTGATCCACACACCCAGACAAATCCCCACGTGACTACACCTGCTAATCCAGCTCCCCGTGCAACTATTCACCAAATGCTGCCCACCAATAGCCCTCGAAGCAGATCTCATTCAGCCTGTTAGCAGCTACATGGGTCATGAGACGAGGCTTGGAAACAATAAGCTTGGCACAGCAAATGATGCAACATCGGGCAGTGGCACGAATTACTGCCAGCATACTTGATTATTAATTTCGGAGCAGACCCTCTGCCAGCTAAAAGCATGGGTATGGGTGTATTGCATGTGCTTGAAATAATATTAGCTAGGTTCTTCTGAGGCCACTTGTACCCCATGAGTGTACGTATAGCTAGCTTCCATATACACCTAGCAGAAGGTCTCCGGAAAATTTCTTAGAGTGGAAACATTGGTGAGAAGCGTCCGGCGCATGCTTCTTGCCTCAGGAATTCCCGAACCTCACCGAGTTCTGCGTGGCTCCATCCCAGTGGCGCCTCCACCTGGATACAAACAGATGCTTGGTAGGCCTATGATCATTCGCTCGAAGCACATGGACCCAGAAGTATGTCTCATCTTCATGCCCCATGGGTGCACACTTTGTGCGGAAAATGCGTACTAGTATATAGCTATCCACCGCATGACTTCCACCCATTTACCCCTATCCCACCTTGCTGCTGGCGAGCACATTGCATCCTTTTCTCAGCCAGGCATCCATGAGGTGTCCATGTCTTTCCTGGACGGAACAGGTCATTTAGCCCCTCACCCTCTAAACCCTAATATAATTATAATTATGACATACAATAACAACTATATATATATATATGTAATTAAACCCCTATAACCCTGTAACCCCCTAAACCCTATATTAATATAATCTGCTATAACCACGTAACCCGCAAACCTTGAAATTGTTCACAACCAGGGATTTGGGACCAATATGTATGGGATTATATTTATTATATAGGGGTAACGAGCATTACAGGGTACTATAGCTAGCACGATCAGGACAAGAGTCAGTATACTTCAGATGGAGCTTCACCACCCGAGCACAGAACTTGCGCGGGTACTCTTGAGTTTTTTTGAGAAGTTTCCCACCGCTCCTTATATGATCACGAGAGCTCATCAGTACAACCAAGCAATAATGCAGGAGCCATGCAAGTGAGAACTGCATTAAATCCAAGGCTCACAACCTGGCGGCCGCGCTTGTCCACACTCTTTCGGACTACACCTGCAGAGGAGAGTCCATACCGGATCTTCCTCTTTCTGGTAAGCTTCTTGGCCAGCTTCGGAATAAAGCCCCTCAGCTTGAATCGAAGGGTCCGCATATGTTGGACTGATCACGCATAGAATTCTTGACATCCAGATTGCTGAGTTCTCCACAGGGTACCATAGGCAAGGGAGCCCTTGCAGCTGAAGTGACCATAACAACCCATCCAACTTAGATCTCCACGCACGCTGCAGGGAGGAAAAGCTTTCAAGCGCAAACGCTTGCTTAAGCATATCATGAAGAGCCCAGTCGCAAGAATGTACGATGGACTCGCATAAACTTCCGCAAGACCGTCGTGACGTGCTGGAAATACGGAAGTTCCTCAAACATTGAAGAAGAAGGCTGCTCCAGCAGCCAGTAGCATTTACGGACCGTCAGGAGCAAGAGACAGAGGCAGACACGGGAGGCAATCCTTGGTTAGCGGTTTGGGGGGACTATGATTTAAAGGGATTTAATTAATTGATCCAATAACTTCAGTCATACAACCCCTGGATATTGGAATTTCTAACCATGGCCAGGGCAAACTGAATCTGAGATCAGAGAGAGGGAGAGAGAGAGAGCGAGAGAGAGAAAGAGAGATATACTCGAAAATACAGCCACCACAACCCATCGATTTTGAGAAATTGAACCTTCCAAAAGCAAATTATATAG